GGAGGCCCCGCACAGATGGCTCACATCTGCTTCTAACTCCAGCTCCAGGGTGTCCAGTGCTCTCTGGTGGCCTCTACAGGCACTGGCACTCACCGGTATAAATGCCTAAACACACACACACACACACACACACACACACACACACGAGACAGAGACAATAAATAAACAATAAAACTCCTTTTGAAGAGACAGAGACAATAAATAAACAATAAAACTCCTTTTGAAGTTAAGCACGTTAAGTGTATAATGCAGTACATTAAGTACATATTTATGTTATTTAAATTTATGTAAATTTAATAAGTAAAAAACTACAATCATTCATGTCCAGAACTCCGTTATTTTTGCTAAACTGAATCTCAGTACCTGTTTAATAATAATTTTCCATTCTTGCCTTTTCCCAATCCCTGGCAATAGCCACTCCACATTATATCTCTGAATCTGACTTCTCTAGAAACATCATATACTACAAATTATTCAATCCTTTTATTTTTTTGTGACTGATTTATTTCACTTCATATAAATTCTTCCACATTTGCCCATGTTGAACCATGTCAGCATTTCATGCCTATCTAAGGCTGAATACTCTCCTATTGAGTGGGGTCTATCACATTGTTTATCCAGTCATCTGCTGATGGACAGACATGTCGGTGGCTTTTACTTAAAATCCTTGGCCTATTGTAAATAATGTTAAGAATATAAGCATAGAAATCTACCTATCCCTGTTTCACCTGTCTGCATATGTATACAGAAGTAGAAACAGGAACTGTAATTCTGAGGAACCCCCCTAACACTCTCCATAATCACTGCACTCGTTTATACTCCCACCAACAATGCATGGCGACTGACTTCTCTACCTTCTAGCAATCCACACAATTTATTTCTCTGATTGTGGTCATATTAACAAACGTGAAACCGTATCTCACCACAGGTTGGACCTGCATTTCTGTAATGGCTACCTCTGAGCATCTTTTCATGAATCTTATAGTTTTTCATATATCAAAATGCAAAGTTTGAAATTTTTATCTGAAAACCTACATTGTGTTTATAAAGAGACACATCTTTAAAGGGCACTTTAAAGTTTAAATGCTGCCATGTGAACTGCTTGTCTTCCATTGAAACCTTCTTTCACAATCTTTGCCATTCTGCTAAATGGCATCTCTGACCCCTCTTATATTCTACATCAGCAAATTCTGAGGGGCCTGCCTCAGAGTTAGCTCAGAAACCTCATGCTCCTCACATCTTAAATACAATCAAACTGGTCCAGGGCACAGCGACCCTACTCCTGGGTTCCTGCAAGAGTCTTCCCACTGTCTCTACATTGTGTCTCTCCTTCAGCAACTTCTTTCCAAAGGTCTTAAAAATTTTAATGTTATTTTTATGTGTATGCGTGTATGTCTGATTGCATGTATACCACATGCATGAAGTGCCCTCAGAGGCCACTAGATGCCCTGAAACTGGAGTTCTTGATATGGACGCTGAGAAACACACACTGTGCAAGTGTGGCAAGTGCTCTTAACCACTGAGCTATCACTCCAGGCCCAGCCAAAGGTTTTAAAATAAAACCCACCACCATACCATGTACGGTTTGGCTTAAAATCCTCGAGTCATACTACCATAGCTGCCAAAAAGGTCAACGATTTTATTATGCCCAGAATGTTTCCCTCTGGGCCTCATGTCTTATTACCCTTGTCTAGCTCGACATGTGGTAGATACACGGCTTCCTCATTGGTCCATCAAGTTCAAGCATGCTTCTGCTTCATGATTTCTGTCCTTATTGTTTTTCCTGTCTAGGATATTCACCCTTTCAACAGTTTTATAATCTGTTCCTTGATCTCCATTAGTTTTTTTTTTCCATAAATTTCACCCAAATTAAAGTCCTCCTGAACCACCAATCATATCCTTTCCTACTCTCTGACCCTATCTTCCTCCCAGCTTTTCTATTTGTACAGTACTTTAAGCCATCTGACACACTACTCACTTTTTACTGACTCCTACTATCAGGATAGAAAACGCCCATCAGAAAACACATGATTTTTGTCCATTTTATTCATTGCCATATGTCTTGAACAATGTGCAATATACAATAGAAACAATACTAATTATTATCAGTGTTCAAACCTTAAATCAAAAATATGTTCTGCAAAAGACTAAAGTCACCAGGTTAGGGGACGGTCCTGCATTTTCCTAGAGCTTTGACATGAAGCACACAAAACCTGCTTCCCCAGGCTTTACTCACCCTGATTCCAGTGCCATTGTCTTGGATCTGAATTAGCTTCAGGCCTCCTTCTTTAACAACTACTTGAATATTAGTGGATTTTGCATCTAAACTGGCAAATCAGAGAAAATATTTTTTGTCAGTTGCAACTACTCTGATGTACTTAGCAAACAAATAGAGTGCTTGATTAACTTTTTTTTTTTTTTTTTTTGGTCTTACAAGCTCAATGTGGGTACTCTATGAATACATCATGTGATAAGGACAGAGCGACCATTTCTGTTCCTGTAGGACAGTCCCTTTAGCACATGTTTCTTACTCTCTTTTCAACTAATTTTACTGTTGTAACAATTTTAATCAGTCGCTGGCTTCTAAGTGACTCTAATAAAAATCACTTAAAAGTGCTGTTTTCCTCTACGTATATGTATTTAAGAAAACACATTCATGATGAAGCAAAGAAAAACTGCCATTCAGAAATTTCTTTAAGAGGCTTAAGGGGTTGGAGCCTGGAGACATGGCTCAGCCTTTCAGAGTACTGGAATTCAATTCCTAGCACCCACGTGGTGGCTCACAATCATCCATAACTCCAGTTGCAGAGGACCTGGCATCTTCTTTTGGTCTCTGAGAGCAATCCTTGAACACAGTGCCTAGACACACACACACATACACACAGGCAAAACAACCACACAAAATGAAAATTTAAAAATTAAAAAAGATGCCAATGGGGCAGCCCATAAGATGTCTGAGAGGGTTAGAGGCACCTGCCACCAAGCAGAGGACCTGAGTTCAATCCCTGGGACCCACATGATGGGAGGAGAGAAGCAACTCCTCAGTTGTCCTCTGACCTTCAAAAGTGTGTTATACACACAACCCCCATGAAGCAGACAAATCGCTAAGCAAAATAAAGTTAAAAAGAGGAAATAATCTTAAAAAGGAAGGATAACTCGCTTGTTTTTTCACAGAGTAGCCTATAAACTTAGAATACCTACCACAGAAAGCAAATTTGGCCTGGGCCTAAATGAAAATGGGAAGTTATCAATTCCTCTTGTGAAAAATTCTTTATTTAAAAAAGTTACTCAAATACCTCTGTATCAAAAACCTTGACTTAAAATATTTAAGAAGCACTTAACTAGAATCCATGCAAAATCTGCTTGTTTATAAGTTGCTACGCTACTTTCAGGCTTAATTTTATTGTGCGGTATTCAAACACAGTTCAATAATTGGCTCAAGTTATCCTGTTAGTTCAGGCTAGCACTGCAGAAACAAAAGCTATCATCTTGCAATCCATAGCTACATCAAATCAAATGCCCGCAGGCTCCCTACTCCTTCTTTTGGTTACCTCTTTCCCTTTCTCCCTGTGGCAGTGGTTTTTAACTTTCCCAAAGCTTTGACCCTTTAATACAGCTCCTCATGTTGTGGTGAGCCCTGACCATAAAATTATTTCATTGCTACTTCATACCTGTACTTTTGCTACTGTTATGAATTGTAATGTAAATATCTGTTTTCTGATGGTCTTAGGTGATCCTTATAAAAGGGTCCTTCCACCCCAAAATGGGCCTGAGATCTTTTATTTCAGTACCATTTCTCTGAAGGGTTTGTTTTCAGTTAACTTCTACAGGACTGCTTTTCTTCACTGAACTTTTTTTTTTTTTGTAACGATGTATATGGGATTCACTAGCATCAACTGATATTAATACAAAGTCTTTTTGTATATTCTCCGAGTGTCCTTTTTGAACTTATTTGGTGGTGTGTCTATTTTGAGGTATACTGTTCTCCCTGGCTTTTCTGTTCATATTTTTATCCTCTCCCATCCGCAATCTGGTGGGTCTAAGTCTCAGACGCAACAAATATCTCCCCCTGGGACACTAACTGGGGTGACAAATTTGACCATGGGAGAGTCAGAAGAAAACCCCACGTCCAGTGGCCTGATCTAAAACGCCAGTAATCGATTTTGAATAAAACCCCAAAGGAAGTGCGCGTTGGACGTGCACGGATTATTCCGGGAGTGAGTGATAAACCTAATATGTCATAATCTGAAGATGGTTTCTCTCTCCACCGTAAACATCCACACATCTTCAGTGGCGCATCTTCTGCGTCTGCAATGTGGAATCAAGGCGCTTCCTTAGGGAAGGTACCATTAAACCAATACCACGCTCGCTTCCTCTACTTGCGACCCACACGGGTCTCGCGGACGTCACACAGGGGGAAACCGGCCTGCAGCGCGCAGGGTCCCGGTGCCCAGCGCGCGCACGGCGGCCGGCTGCAGCAGGTGGGTGGGCCCGGCCCGTGCCGCCGGCCTCGGCTCCGCCCCCTCCGTACCAGTTTTCAATCATCTCTTTGATGGCATTAGCCGGCCGCTGGATAACTTCCCCCGCCGCTATGCGATTCACCACCGTCTCGTCCAGACGCCGGATAACTCCCGCTACAAACGCCATACCGGCGCCAGAGCTCGCCTTCGGCCAATCACTTCGGCCCCTCACGCTCGCGTCCTTCCTCCCGCTTCGGCCGACGCCGTCCCGCGCCGCCTTCCCAGCGGCAAGTGCCGATTGGGCGGCCTGAATGCCAGTCAAGCGCCTTCCTACGTCAGTTCCTGGGTCTCTGTCCCGCCCTACACAGAGGCCGCCCACTAGGCTGGAGAGCAATGCGCTTGCGCGTCAGAGTTCACGGCCCGCTCTTCCGATTGGCTCACTCCCGCGAGCTAAGGGAATACGAAATCTCCAGCCAATGGGAACGCAGGTGCCCTGGCGGAGGCTGGCGCGCCCCTGCACGGGTGATCTGGCGCAGAACCCAGGGGGTGCTTGGCGCTCGTCGGGCTCCTCCCCGTCTCCTGCGGCCTCCGAGCTCGGCGTTATCCTGTGGCCTTCCGCAGAATGTGGATGACGCCCAAGAGGATTAGGATGGAAGTGGACGAGGCTCTGGTGTTCCGGCCCGAGTGGACCCAGCGTTACTTGGTGGTGGAGCCTGCGGAGGGCGACGGGGCCCTGTGCCTGGTGTGTCGCCGCCTGGTCGCCTCTACTCGGGAACGCGACGTGAGGCGCCACTACGAGGCCGAGCACGAGTTCTACGAGCGGTTCGTAGGGGACGAGGAGCGCGCGGCCCTGGTGGAGCGGCTGCGGCAGGGCGACATGTCATTGGCCGCCGTGCTCACTCCGGAGGAGAGAGCGACGCGAGCAGGCCTCGGCCTCTGCCGCTTCTTGGCCTTGAAGGGTCGCGGCTGGGCCGAGGGAGACTTCGTACACCAGTGCATGGAGGTGTTGCTGAGGGAGGTGCTGCCGGATCACGTCGGCGTCCTGGAAGGCATTGATTTGTCTCCGGAGATCACGCGGCAGAGGATTCTGAGCATTGACAGCAATCTCCGTAGCCAGCTCTTTAATCGAGCCAGGGACTTTAAGGCCTATTCTCTTGCCTTGGATGACCAGGCTTTTGTGGCCTATGAGAACTACCTCCTGGTCTTCATCCGTGGCGTTGGCCGCGACCTGGAGGTGCAAGAAGATCTTCTGACGATTATCAACCTGACTCATCACTTCAGTGTTGGGGCTCTCATGTCGGCAATTCTGGAGGCCCTGCAGACAGCGGGACTCAGCTTACAGCGAATGGTTGGATTGACCACGACCCACACTTTAAGGATGATTGGTGAGAACTCGGGACTGGTCTCCTATATGAGAGAAAAGGCTGTGAGCCCCAACTGTTGGAACGTTATCCACTATTCGGGATTCCTTCACTTGGAACTCTTGAGTTCTTACGATGTTGATATTAATCAGATCATAAATACCATATCCGAATGGGTAGTTATGATTAAGACCAGAGGTGTTAGGCGACCGGAGTTTCAGTCTTTACTAACTGAATCAGAATCAGAGCATGGTGAAAGAGTTAATGGACGGTGTTTGAACAACTGGCTGAGAAGAGGCAAAACGTTAAAACTAATATTTTCACTAAGAAAAGAAATAGAGGCCTTCTTGGTTTCGGTGGGGGCAACAACAGTCCACTTCTCAGACAAGCAGTGGCTTTGTGATTTTGGCTTCTTGGTGGACATTATGGACTATCTCCGAGAGATCAGTGAAGAACTCCAGATGAGTAAAGTGTTTGCTGCTGCCGCCTTTGAACGCATCTGCACCTTTGAGGATAAGCTGAGTTCACTTCAGAGACAGATGGAGGAAGTAAATCTAACAGACTTTCCTGCCTTCAGCATCATTGTTGATGAGCTTAGGCAGCAGTTTAAGGAAGATCAAAAAATATTTGATCCGGACAGGTATCAAATGGTGATCTCCCGCCTACAAAAAGATTTCGAGAGACATTTTAAGGACCTCAGGTTCATTAAAAAGGACTTAGAACTTTTCTCTAATCCGTTTAGCTTTAAACCTGAATATGCGCCCATTTCAGTAAGAGTGGAGCTAACAAAACTTCAGGGGAACACTGACCTGTGGAATGAATACAGAGTCAAAGACTTGGGACAGTTTTATGCTGGGCTGTCTGGTGAAGCTTACCCAATTATCAAAGGGGTGGCCTATAAGGTGGCCTCCTTGTTTGATAGTAACCAAATCTGTGATAAGGCCTTTGCATATTTAACGCGAAACCAGCACACATTGAGCCAGCCACTGACGGATGAGCACCTCCAAGCACTATTTCGAATTGCCACAACTGAAATGGATCCTCGCTGGGATGATCTTGTGAGAGAAAGAAATGATTCGTAAGCCTTTGTAGGACAAGAAGAATTCGACCTGAGGAGGGAAAGTTAGATTTTCTTTCGCCTTTATTAATTTGGATGGTCGGGAAGCATTGAACTTATTACAGATGTCCAAATTGATAAACATTGAAATCTTTCTGACAAGTTGCCTTTCCCCATCTCATTTGGCAACATGGGACTAAAACCTTTAAAAAGCTTATTTTAATGGAAAAGTCATTGCCTTTTACTTTTATGTTGTAACTGGTTTTCAGCAAGTTTGGTATTGGTATTGTAAGTTGAACTAGAAGTCTGGTTTTAAGATGTTCTGAAGATACATGCCAAAAGTTTCAGCTCTTACTTTGACACAATGTAAAAAGTATGATACATGGTTTGAAATTACCAACTCTTTAAAAGCGTCTTTCAGTCAGTTTACAGAAACTCATATATCAAATAGGTTTCTGAAAAGGAAAAACATACACAGTGGAGATATTCTGTCTAGCTAACAGAATTTAAGATTTTTTTTAAACATTCTGAGTCAGAAGTAAATACTGGCAGTTTCAGCCCCACCCCCAACAACCTAGTTGATGGTGAAATTATGGATGGAGGAAAAAAATAGAAAATTTGGTTGGAGCAGCAAGAATTATTTTAAGATTCTGATGTAGGAGGCTTCTTACAATCAGGAATTAAGAATAACTGATTATTGATGGTTTGCTCCTTATTTTTTCACAACTAGGGGCAATTTTTTTCAGCTATCAGAGGACCATGGTAAGTATGGAATCTTAACCATTGCCAATCAGTAATTCTTTTTTCTACTCTAGACAGAACTTTGGCCCTATCAAAACAGTAAGGCGGGGGAGACTTTTACGAGAGGTTTTAGCTTGTTTATCTGCTAGTAAATCTATTAGTGTTTTATAATGAAACTATACTTAAGATAGACACCTGATTTTGAAACGATGGGTGTCAGGTTTTGTTAGTTTCTGGTAATAGATTTCCTCTAGAATTTAGAACTGTCTTACACATTTAATAGTTAAGACAGTGCTCAAGTAAGAACATTTAAATCTCAAGAAGCCGCTTATCCACAGACTGTAATAATTCTTATTTCCAGAGACGTTGGTTTTGTTCTATAACGTTATCACACATATTAACTGTGGAAGAGTCAACCTTACGGTTTAGCTCAAGATGGAAACCTGATCTCAAAGCAGCACCTAATTTGTAACTCCGCCCTCAAGTACAGTTTAAAAGTTGTTGTGCTACTTTCTGTTCTAAATATTGTTGCACATTCAAGGAACCTGATTACAGTTAAGAATTTAGAAGGAACTGATGCCTAAGCCACACGAGCCTAAAAACCAAAGTTAGATCAGTGGTTCTCAACCAAAGGTAGAAACCCTGGCTCCCAGAGAGTGCTGGGAAGTATGTAGGGGCACCTTGGTAATGATCTTATTTCCTGGAGGGTTCTGGCATGTAAGCTTAAACATTTCTCCTTCCTGCGGTGTTCAGACAGAGTGCCAGCACCCTCCACCCAAGTGTACATTGTCTTATTTCAAGGGACAGGGAAGTCTTCAGTAGAAGCTGATGGTGCCCTGGATAGGGAAGCGAGGAACAGGTTGACAGTTTGCTTATCAAAGAATATGCTTAAAAGCCTGGGAAACAGATGGAGTCTGCTAGTTGTTTCCCAGTAGCTTTGTGTATTACCTTTCACAGCAACTATTTCAGATACTTTTACTATTTGAGAGAATGATTGGAAGTCCTGAAAGCTGCTGCTTTCAATTTCTAGTCTCCTAAACATTAATATCTTATGTATTCAAGTTCTCAGCGGTTTGCTTAAGGTGATAATAAAATTAGTTTGCATCATGTAACCACTGTGTGAGTATGGGGGAGATATAAATAAGCTAAGGATTTTTTAATTGACCCTCAGCAATAGTTTGCTGTGACTAGTCTTGTTTGTTTAAGCAGTGGTTCTCAACCTTCATAATGCTGTGGCCTTTTTGTACAGCTCCTCATTTTTTGGTGGCTCCCAACCATAAAATTATTTTGTTGTTACTTCATAACTATAATTTTGCTACTGTTATAAATCGTAATGTAAATATCTGATATCCGAGCCCCTATAGTCATGACCCATAGGTTGAGAACTGCTGGCTTAAGGTGTTTTGCTGTTTTCTGTATTTCTGTAAATAACTGTAGCTGCATGGCTGTCTTTTTCTTTCTTTTTCCTTTTTAAATATATAGTTGTTACTGGTCCTGTGGTTTCAGTGAATATAGTTAAAATAAGTGCCATTTAAGAACAAACTAAAAAACAACAACTCTTGTGTCCTTAACTGTTCCTTCCATTTCTCTCATTCCCACTAGTTCAAATGTATGTTTGTCCAGCCTCCCATATAACCTTCCAGCCAGATCACTCACTTTCAGTGTCTTCAGTCTTTTTTCCCTCCTGGAAATGATCTTAGCATTGCCCAGACGCCAGCTCCAGTGAGAGCAGTCAGCCCTTCCTAAAGTATGCCTGCCCTGTTGCGTTCTTTGCTTTTTAGCCTTCCCATTCGCCCTTGCTTCATTTCCCTACACTACTTCCTTAGTTGCTCTCTTTCTATGACTTCATTTACCACCTGTATGCTCATATTTCTAAATTCTTATCCCCTCCATTTCCCACTTAATCCTAGTTACCGATATCCCTGACACTGCTCTCTCACAGGCCTCACAACACATTTTGGCTCTTTCTCCCAAACCTGCTCTTCCCCAGTTTTTCCTTCAGCAGATGGCTTTACAGTTGCCCTCACCCAAGCCAGAAACTGAATCAACTCACTCCACTGCTTTCACCATTGCTGTCAGAATAGATAGAATACGAACTTCTGTTCATCTTGCAGATCTTGGTTTATAGATATCTGAGAAGCTTCAGTGGTGCCCTCTCGGCCGGGTGCCCAGCTACACGTGCTGAACATCCTTGTCCTTTCTACTTAGTGTTTCTTACTGTGTTTTGGTCATTGCTAAACTGGAACAGTGAAGTCTAACACATTGGTTCATCTCTAATGAATAGTGCAATGCCTGGCATTTGAATAAATGCTTAGGCAAATAAATACTTTTGTGTGTGTTTTTTTAATGAGCTTTGAAACCTTCACAGCCTTCATTTGACCTTTACAGACATCCTGCCTGTTCACTGACTAGTTCTTAGCCATGTATTAAAAATTAAGAAATTAAACTCACCTTATTTGTGAGTAGGAACTTCATTATTGTTTCTTGAATTTAGTGCAGTGCTCAGCATGTGGTTCAAATACTATGTGAATGTTGTTAAGAAAACAGATTGTAATTTACTGTAGTAAATTAGTAATGTCAAGATTCAAACCTAGGTGTACTATCAAATCTACTTCATAGTGTTAAGTATATCCATAAGACAGAGTCTTTTTATTTATTTATTTATTTTAAATTTCCAAAGGAACCTACATACAGAGGGGAAAGATTGGATAACTGCTTAGATTGAACTGCGTTCAGTAAGCTAAAAATTACCTTCAGTATTGGAGAAGGACAATGCTGCAAAGACTTAATATCCATTTTTCCTTTTGTAGGCATCAACCCTAGGAGAAAATGGCATGCTATTTAGTAGTTACTTTCCTTTACAGATGGTTTCTGGCTCTTCTGGAATTTAAAAGTAAGTAAACCTATTTATGAGAAGGATGTCTTAGCCCTTGACTACAAGATCCTCAGCTCATTATTTTTCTTACATGTGGAGTGCCCATATCATCTCCCAAGGAGAAAACCCTAGATGAAATCCATTTAACAGGGACTCTTTTTAGATTTGCTGTATTTCCTGGCTTTCTGACTTAAGACTGAAAAGTCTCAGTTACCTAGAAATGAAATTCAGAGGCATGAAACAAGAAAGCCAGACTTTTAATCTCTTTCATTAAGCCATTTTGCCCAATTTAAGAGATGAGCTAGTATCTTTCTCTTAGTTGGACTTTGAGTTTTAGGAAGTCACATTAACTTAATTCACTCTGAGGTCTTGGTAGGAGATACAGCAGTACAGAGATTGATCCTTGTTGCAAAACTAGGTTTCCATCAACCTTTGGGTTAAAGAGTTTCTCATTTTTATCTTGTATTTGAAAAGTTGCTTCTTCCTACACCGTAAGTACTTTATAAACATGCTATCATTTCTGCCTTGAAACTGATCCAATACTCAGTTCATGTCCTATACATTTTGTCAAATGCAGCCAACAGCCACCAATACCACAAAATAATTTTTTCTTCTTTAATAAAAGGTAGATGTCTTGTCTCCCAGGTCATCTCAAGGGGTACCCCTGGGTAGTTACTTTTCTATCTTCCAGTAGCAATCTTTCTGAATGCCTCCCAACTGATCACTAAATGACATGTTTAGTCTTTTAGTTCTTCTGGATTAGGATTGGTGAGGTTGCTATGAGGTCCATTAACTATGAAAGTTTAGTGTCTCAACAACTTGTCTGTGGCACTTGTCACATGGGGAGGGGCTGGTAGACTACAGCCGAGTCTGTCCTGAGGAAGGGTTTTGGGAATACAGCCATGTCCACTGTGGACTGTCATGGCTGCTTCCCTCTACACTTGCAGAGTTGACTAGTTAAGACATTGGGTGTGACACAAGCTGAAATACTTCACAGAAAAGTTCACTAATTCCTGCTTCAAATTGCCCCTGTCCTGTTGCTCAGGACAAAGCAGATACTCATTAGGAGTTGACTGCTCACTTTGGGAAGTGAGAAGAGAAAGTTTGGCAGATAACAGAGGCTCTGAAAGCCCACAGCCACACCAGAGTTGAAGGAGAAGTGCAATCCAGCCATACAGCTGGGAGGAAAATGAACTTTTTGGAAGATAACACTACTGGTTATGGTAGTTCTGTTCCCCTAGTTATGCCTGTGCTTTTCATTGAGATAAAAGTTTACAAATATTAAGTGTCCACCTCAGTGGATTTTTATAATCGCCTGTGAATGCACCAATCAGATCAAGGTATAAAGATTTCTGTTCCTCCAGTAGGTGCCCTTTGCCTCTCACACCGAGAGAGATGTTGGTCTGACCCTTATCGCCGGTCAGTTAGTTTTTGCCTGTTTTAAATCTATATCAAGTGGAATTATATACATTTTTTGTATCTTTTGTTCTCTCCAAGTCTGCTATAGTAATCCGTGTTGTGGACTATAAGCGTTCACTTCTCACTTCTGTGTCATAGTCCATTCGTTGTACCAGTTTACCCATTCAATGTTGATGAGTATTTGGATTGTTTCTAATTTGTGGTCATTATGAATAAAGTTGCTATTAAAAGCCTGTGTCTGTTTTTAGTGAACATGTGTTAGACCTTTGGTGTGTTCCTTGGCAGATAACCTTGCTTCTGTTATTTACTTTATAGAGGTTATATTCCACAAAGCAATCAATGTGATCCTTACTTTAAAATCTCTTAGGTAAAGCCACTTTCCTACTCAAAAACCTCCAATCCATGGTAGCAGATTAAAAGCTGAAGTCTGATCGTTCTTACATGATCTTTATGCACACATACCTTTTTCTTGATGACTCTTCTAACATTTTATCGTTTATTTTTCTCTGTCTCTACTCTCTACTGGATACTGTACTTATAAATTTGGGGATTAAGGCAAATGTTTTGTAATTTGAGTAGCTGTGTGGTGTCGCGAGACTGAGCTTGCTTTTGTCTTTGCTGTCAGGCTGGGGATGACTCAAGCCTCAGGTTTGTGGAGCATATGCTCTGCCAATTTTCATGGAAGCTCCAGGGATTTTTGACATAAGCCTTGACATTGGTTTACAGTGTGTTAAGTATCCCACTGAGTACCAACACTTAACTTCTAAAAGCTATTTAAAAGTTAAGACATAAAACCCATCTTGAGTTCAGAAATATGTGAGTTCTTGTATTCTATAGATTATGATTAGAATTCGTCAATGTGATGATGTTACCGTTACTAGTCCACGTTCATGGGGCTAGATGGGTGCTGGAAGCTAAGGCAGACAAGGTAGAGATGCAGTGAGAGAAGTAGTAAGTCTAAAATAGCGCAACCATAGGGACCTCTTTGGTATGGTACTAGCAGCTGTAAAATAAGAATTTTGTTCCCGGGGCTGAGAGTGCCTAGCAGGTAAGAGCTCCTGCTGGTCTTTCAGAGGACTATAGTTTGGCTCCCACATCAGGTGGCTCACATTTACCTGTAACTCCAGCTCCGAGGAATTTGATGCCCTCTTCTGTCTTCCGTGGTCATCGTCAGACATGTAAATTAAAAAAAAAAAATTTATATGTCTATTTTTAAAAACTATTGTACAACTGAAGTTGAAGCTTGACATGTTTAAAGAATTCAATTTAGTTTTGGCAAACATCAGGGCATAAGACCATGAAAAAGTAAAAAACATTCTTAAAAGTTTACATTTGGTGTCAGTTAATGAAGGAAAGTTAAGGGGAAAATAAGGACATTGTTGAAAGGCAATGTCATAGTCAGTTCAGACATCGAATTACCGTGACTGGTGACAAGCTTCTGGCTTACACATGGCTGTCTGTATCCTCATAGAGTGGGAAGCCTTTTCTTGTCTGTACCAACCCCATCTTCACGTTGTATCTCCCAGCTCTTGTATTACGGTCACACTGAGTGAGGGTTAGGATTTCAACATCAGAGCTTACTGGGGTGTGGGCTGATAAAGAAAGTACTTGTGAGAGCAGTGAGGACCTACCTGTTACATAAAAAGCCAGACAGTGTGGTGGCACACACCTGAAATCCAAGTGCTGGGGAGAGATGGAGCGACTCAGTGGCTTCCTGGTTAGCTTGTTTTACCAAGTCAGTGAAGTCCAGGTTCAGTGAGAGAACCAGAAAAAAAAGTGGAGAGTAAAGAAGATACCCAGGTTTGACTTTTGACCTCCATAAGTTTATATACCTACACACATACACACACACCATACATAGAATTCAGTGGGGAACATTCTGTGTATGGAAAATGGGTGTTTCTTAGAACTACCGTTGACTCTGTTCCTGTCCTTTCTCCCTTGCTAGCCAACTTTTATTCTCCTCCCTGGCTTCTGTAACCGCCCTTCTCCAACGCCACCAATTGATCTCGTGTACTAACTCCATATTCTTGGGCAGTGACATGGTCCTTCAGCCTTCCATCTGACCAGACATGCTTGTAGTACAGTGAGCAGTAGTTATAAAGGGAAGATGTCTGCCCTGTTTCTGATGAGGGTTCCTCAAAAGAAGAAAAAGCCTATGTAAGGAGGAACTGATTCAAGAAATACAAGAGTGTCTCATGGAAGATGGAAGATAAATTCAGTAGTTAGGGTGGGCTCTGATGTTTCATCAGTAGGAAATTAATTAATTATGGGCAAAATTAATTTCTTGCCCATAGGTCTTATTCATTTACATATCTGCTTTCTCCATCGTCATGTCCTTGTGTCCTGTCCACACCCCTCCCCCATAGTTTAACTAGCTGATGCTTTTTGGTAGAACACAATTGTGACTAGGGAGACCTCTCTCTCCTTTCTCGCTCTCTCTTTCAGTTTATTTATTTTAGATAGATGAGTGCTCTGTTTTCATGCACACCAGAAGAGGGATTCAGATTCCATTCCAGATGGTTGTGAGCCACCATGTGGTTGCTGGGAATTGAACTCAGGACCTCTGGAAAAGGAGCCAGTGCTCTTAACCACTGAGCCATCTCTCCAGCCTGGGAGACATTTCTGTTAAGGGATCTATCATATATAACTGCAAGACCAGGTCTGTGATTGGCAGAGTAGAAGAGGGAGACTTTGTGGGAGTTGCCAGCACGTTAAGGGCTGCGTCTCTCAAAGATGTCCTGCTTTAGTGAACCCTCTGATGCCAAACCTGGCAACTTGAGTCTAATCCCCAGGACCCACATGGTAGAAGCAGAGAACTAACAAAAATTTATCCTCTGACCTACACACACACACACACACACACACACACACACACACACACACACACACTCACTCACACTGTGGCACACCCATTCTCAATAAATATAAAAAAATAATGTATTAAAAAAAAACCATCGCGACACCAAACGATAAAATGACTGCCATTGAAAAAGCAATGCTGCTGTTGTTGGGGTTTTTTGTTGTTGTTGTTTTTGTTTTTTAATCAAACCAAGCATTGGTGGTGCACACCTTTAATTCCAGCAGAGGCAGGCAGAGTTCAAGGCCATCTAGGGCTACACTGGGAAACCTTGTCTTTAAAAACCAAAAAATAAAAGGGAAAGGAAGAAAGAAAGACAAGAAAAGGCAGTTTGTGGGGCTGGTTGATGGCTTAGTGGATACAGAACTGTGCCCCAGAGTGCCATGTGAGAGTTTAGAGAGTTTAGAACCTGTGCTGGATAGTTTCTTGTCACCTTGAAACATCGAAGAGGAGGAAACCTCAATTGAGAAAAAGCCTCCATAAGATCTGGCTGTACATTTTCTTAATTAGTGACTGATGGCAGAAGGCCCAGCCCACTGTGGCTGGTGCCACCCCTGGGCTGGTGGTCCTGGGTTCTATTAGAAAGCAGGAGGAGCAAGCCATGAGGAACAAGCCAGCAAGCAGCACTCCTCCACGGCCTCTGCATTAGCTCCCGCCTCCAGGTTTCAGCCTTGCTTGAGTTCCTGTCCTGACTTAGTGATGACTACAACTTGGAAGTGTAAGCTGAATAAACAAACCCTTTTCTCTCCCAAGTTGCTTTGATTATGGTGTTTTATTGCACCAGTAGGAATTCTAACTGACACAGATCCCTAGTAGCCACATAAAGGTCAGTTGGGTGTGTTTACCCACCAGGAATTCCAGTGCCCAGGAGGTGAAGACAAGAATCCACTGGGCAAGTTAGTTAGACAAACTGAACTAGTGAGTCCAGGTTTAGCTAGGGACCCTGCCTTAACTTATAAGATGGAGAGTCATCAACCTTTGGCTTACACGCCCTCACCCCCATGTACATGCATGTACATCTGCGTGCTAACACGTGCACATATACAGTGCATGTCACTGTATATGTGACAAAAGGGGGGGGCAATTTGTTAGAGCACCAAGAAGACTGTGGTATTTGAGTGAGAATGAATACTTGGTCCATACTTAGTGGAACTTTTTAGGAAGGATTAGGAGGTGTGGCCTTCTTGGAGGAGGTGTATAACAGGGGTTGACTTGGAGGCTTTAGAAGGCTCCACCCAACCCCGGCACACTCTCTGCCTCCTGCCTTTGGCTCACAGTGTGTGTTCCTGCCACCATGCCTTTGCTGTCATGGACTCCAACCTTCTGGGACTGTAAGCCCAAACAAACACTTTTATAAGTTGTCTTGGTCATAGTGTTTTATCACAACAGTAGAAAAGTAGCTAAGAGAAGAACTGATGTTATACATCATCCAGATGTACGTAAAGCACCAGGCTCCATCAGTGTCCAGGAGTGAGAGGAAGGATATGTAGGCAAGGCAGGACAGCAGGCTTAGGACTAATAACAGTCTCACTGGGCTCTGCCATATAGAGGCTTTGGTCAGCTAGAGGAGTGTTGCCCGCTGTGGTGTAGGAGCCAGATAGCAGAAGGGGGTGTAGAATAAGGGGGTGTAGAATATGGTCTCCAGGTGAGTGGTCTGTGTGAGCGGTGCCCTCACAGAATTAACTTGCTATCTCTGGAAGTAGCGAGTGCTAAGAGGGGCAGTCTTAGGTCAGTGAGGCCCTTAATTCTGGGTCATCAAAAATACAGCGCTAGAGAGGTGGCTCAGCAGTTAAGGGCACTGGCCGCCCTTTCAGAGGACCTGGGTTCTCTTCCCAGCATGCACGTTGCAGCTCACAAGCATCTGTGACTCCAGTTCCAGGGGATCTGATGCCTTCTTCGGGCCTCTGCAGGTAGCAGGCATGCACTCCGTGCACAGGCATACAGGTCGGCACAACACCCAAACGCATGAAAATAATTTAATTTTTAATTTAGAAAGGGAAAGAATACAGGAAACAGGGTACTAAAGAGATAAAGTTTGAGGGTGGACACCTGGGGAGCCCCCTCTTGGGTACCTTTGGAAATTCTGTGGTAGAATTTATATAAAAAAAAAAATCAAGGGCCCGGGGGGTGATTCAGGGCCTAAGAGGACAGGAGTTTGGTTCTCCACACTCAGAACTGGGCGGCTCACAGCCTCCCATAACCACAGCTCCAGGGGATCCAATGTCATTCTCTGACTCTGAGGGTACACAAATACACATATGGCAGACACACACCTACACACACACACACACACACACACACACACACACACACACACCACAAAGGTAAAAGCAAAATCTTTTTGAAAAAATGCATCAGGTTTACACCAAACAGGA